GCAATTCTTCCATTATATTTATGTGGTTGCTATAAGTTTTATCCAATGAGATTTCAGCCTTAGTGCCTTGCTATTCAATCAAATCTGCGGGTAGAGGTTTGTGTATGTGCATTTTTTTTTAAGTGGAGAGGGCAGATGTTTTCAATTTTTATTTGGATACTATTTGTGTTTTCTTTTATTAAAATGGGAGAGTGGTGACATTAACCACTTGTGCAACAAAATCTTTGTAATACCAAAATAGCATGTGCATTCCCTCAGTTATTACACATTCAGTGAACAGGAATCTTGGCATACTCTTCTTTCCATTAGAAATGATTTCTAACAGTGTATGTTATTATATACCCACAAGCATATACACTTATATATTTAAATTCAGATGTTAAGGGGTTAAGAATAAAATTATAAATTAATTGAGGGGTACACATTGAAGGCTTCAATACCAGATGCACAACCCACCACAGTTTAGATGCAGTTTATTAAGCTTTCCCACAAATATGCTATCATAGATACATGACATACTCAAAGTGTCTGTTTCTGAATTTTTTTTCTTATATTTAGTGCTAGTGAAAAGTTAACCTACACTCTTTGAACTGAATGTTATATTAACAGTTTGACATTAATAAGATTAAATTATGTATTAAACAGTTTTAATTGAATTAAGTATAAAACACGAATTAAGTAGCCAATAATATACTAAATTTAATACAAATTCCATATAAACAACTATGGAAAAGTTGTATAGACAAGTTAAAACATAGACATCAGTCTCAAAAGATATTTGGCTAATGAATAGTGCTCAGCAACACAAAAAGAAACCAAGCACTTTATGTAACATTTAACACTTCTGACATCATTCTGTTTGAATATTTGATCATTTTTTCAATTAACAACTGCAGAGTTTATTTAATGTGTTTCAGTTTCTGACAGCCTTAGCTTATATTTGAATATTTTCCAAAAGGGTCGAAAGAGGACTGGTGCTAGTATTCTGCTGTAATGGATGTATATGATTATTTTCCTGTTGGGCCATAACAATATTCCAAGAGGGGGACAATGGTGTTCCAGTAGCTTTAACTGTATAAAAGCTGGAGCCACTGGGGTTTGTAGGCTATTTTTTTTTCGTCATTACAAGTCATATTTCATTTAAGTGTGATGATTTATGCCAGACTATTGAAACTTGGAGCAGTTGGGTGCTCCAGCAGGACAGGTCCCAAACACTCAGAAAATGTTTTGGAGGGGAAAATATGACTTAATATTACGTTGTAGAAATGACTCTCAAGTCAAAATTATGGGATTAAATTTTTTTAACAATACTACTAAAAATTGCTAAGGAACCATAAAAGGGGTATTTCTATTTATTTGAACTTGGGAATACAATAAATGCATTCAATGGATGAGGTAAAATATACAAAAAAATAATTAATTTGAACACAAGCTTTTAGAGATGCACACACATTTAGAGATGCCAATTAACCCAATGGTCATGTTTTTAGACTGGGAGGAAGATGGAGTACCTGGACATCGGGCCCCTGGGAATCAAACCCAAAACCTTCCTGATGCAATGCAACATTGCTACAAACTGCCCAAGCATGCAGTCCCTCTAGACTACTGTGAGTGTATTTTAGGAGCATAGTGCAAGTTTGACCCCTCTGCTGTCAAGCTGACATTACACCAGTCTTGACAAGTAGTGTGTGACCCTCTGACTGCTCAAGTTGTATTTTTAGACACCTAATGTCTTCTGAATTGAGAAACGTATAAATATTGGCGCTACCTTTTTTCTAAAAAATATCACTGACTGAGTCTCTTTCCTTCTGATCTGAGCTCCCTCCATGTGTTGAAAGCTCCATATTTTTACCATCGCTGATCAGACTACAATTTGGCCATATTCATCACACTAGACAAAAGTTTCATCCTCTTACTCTTGTGTGGAGTTTGTGATGGGGTTTGAGGTGCACTTGCTGCTGCTTTTGTGATCCATCTTAAAAAACAGTCACCAGTACTCTCGCTAACATGTCAATGGCAGCAGAGTCCCATTGAAGCAGCCATATGAATGAGAGTGCGCAGCAAATCACACCCACACGCACCACCAAAGAACACCACCCAAACAACTCTTTCATTACCTGACTAATAGAGCCTATAGAGTAAACTGGTAGAACAGAGGAAAACACCACATTTTTCGGGTAATTGTGAGGGTTTCCATGGGAAAGAAAAATAATAATCAAGCCATGTGAGATTATTATTAGTTGGAAATACAGACCCATGGTGAGAACACGTAAGTACTTTATCAGGGATCTATCTTATAAGTAGCTGTGAATGTATGAAGAGGGTTTTTTGGCATCATGTGTTTTTTTACCCTCATATTTTAGAGAATTTTTATGTGTGTTCACATACATCTGAGAGAATGTCCATAACTGCATACTGTAGACCATTTTTCCCAAGCACTTACTTCAGATGTGATCCGTTTCAGACCAAAGATCAGGGCATCCTGTCACTATATACACAGGCCACCATCATCACAGCACAGTGATCAGGATATGTGAGGCGATGTGCTGTGCTTTGCCAAACAAAAACACCCATTATCACCTCGAAAAACACCATTTACACCTACAAGTATCCAGAGATCAAGGTTCTTCTTAGAAATGGAGTTAAAAGCTTTTCAGTGATCACAAATTCTAACCAGTCATTTCCATCAAAAAAACTTTATGAGTAACAAAGTGAAGTATGTCTTTTTCTCTGTCCTTAAAGCTCAACAACACTATTGATCTTATATAGAGTCAACATATATCAGCTGGATAAGCTGATTAGAAAGGCCAGCTGTGATTGGATGCCCTCCGGACTCAGTGCAGGACGTGGGAAACAAAAGGATCCTAAACTAAATTAACATGTCTGCTGGATAATGTCTCCCCCCCATGCATGAAGCTGTTGCAGAACTGGAGAGCTCCTTCAGTAACAGACTGCTGCACCCTAAACGCACCACGGAGTGTTATCACAGATCTTTCCTCCCAGCAGCTGTAGGACTATATCCACCACTGTTCCCAATAACCTCAAAAAGTTGTTACATTCATGCTGATTTTTGCAGTTTCTATCTTAGTCAAATATAACATGCTGCTGTCATTTTGCACATCTCTGATGTTGCTGCTATTTTCAAATATCCTTTACTGTAAAAATATCCATAGATGTATATTGGTTATTTATTCTCCAGGTGCACAGTATTTATACTTTAAAACACTTTACAGTGCAGAACTTTCTTTTATTATTTTTTTAACTCTTCACTATTATATTATTCTTGTACATTTCTCTACGGTTGAAATTTGTGTGACATTTTTTTTCTATAATCTTTTTGCTGCTACAAACAGCAGCTAATGCTTGAGGAAACATATAAAATACGGTAAGTAAAGTATGCAGATACGAAACTGAAGCTCCTTCTCAAACTTTTCGGATGGGGGGTATTTCCTCTTTTGGGTAGAACATGAAAACCCTAGTAAACGAAACAGATCACTTCCCTGAATTGTTTTCCAGTGATCCTTCTCCAAATTAAAATAAACTTTCGGCTGTGCCAAGAGTTAAAACTCATTTGCAAAATCCACCACATCCATATGGTGTAACACTAGGCTTCAGAGAACCCAATATTCTAGCCAAACAGTGTTAACTTTAAAAAGTTGCAAAAATAGAGAGAATCCTGGTGCAGACAGGTAATATCCAGTGAGAAAGAGAAGGGAAATTATGCAGAAAGCAGGCTGCACACAGCAGTAGATCAGCGGCAGGACAGACTGGAGGATGGATCATTTAATGCGACCCAACTACACCGATCTGTGTTCGGCAAATTGTTGATAATTGTTTTAAAAGATAATTAATCCATATTAGGATATTGAAGCGCTGCAGTGCTTTTTCATTTTAGATGAGTCGTTTCAGTCTGTCCGTCTGCAACGTTACGACCATGTTCAAGCGGCAGACTTTGAAACAGCTGTTTGGATGGTGAAGTTACTGAGCCAGACATTACTTGACATTACTAACAAGCTCCTGGAACCATTCCTGCCGCTGCAGCAACAAGTTTACCTCAGCTGACCATTAGCTGACAGTTAGCTTAACATAAGCCACGCCAACATGTTCATTTAGAGACTGCAAAAACTCCTCTGTGGGGAAAGTCAACATGGTCAGTTTATATGCAAAGAACTGTGGCCAGATCATGTGGCAGCTGATGTTTGAAAAAAAACAAAAACTTGTCACTTTCTAGTATTTGGTTACTAGAGTTCTGCTTTTTGCAATGACAGTATCAGCACACGGGTACATATTTGGCTAAAGATTTACTGAATCGGATAAGTTCAAATCGGAAACCATCAATAATATTATGAATTAAATTGTTGTTAAATTAATCATTGCCCCTCTAGTAGAGCAGGTTCATAAGGCAGAGCGACAATCTAAAATGTCCAGAATCAGAGAGAGACAAGGAGGTGTACAAGAGAGAAAAAAGCCAAACAGAGAACTCCAAAAAAACATCATTGGGTTTGGAAACAAGCAAAGCAAAAACACAGGACACCTACTCTCTAAATGGCTTTTAGCAATCTGTTCCTAACTGGCTGGGAGAGTCTGGTATATATGCAGCACAACAGGTGCAGGGAAGGAATTTGAGCGAGGGTGTGCTGAAAGTGGTTTGTAGTTGGATGAGATGGAGGTGATTGCTGCAGAACAAGATGAGCATAAGAATGCAGCAAGTCAGCTCAAACACAACAGAACAGAAGCAGGATGCAACAGTGATTAACATATAAAGTTTATTCTACTGATTTATGGTATTATAATGCTGGGAAAACCTTGGGCCCTACATTAATATAGAGAGTGTGATACACTTTCTGAAGCATTACTAAAAGAGCCAAGTGAGCATTTTATGAACCCATCAGACACACCAGACCTAATTTTACTTGGTTTCATGTTTAATTGTCTAAGTCGCAAAGTAATGTTCCATACAATCTATTGATTTACAACGTTAAAAGAAATACGAGTATGACAATGTTTTTTTTAATATTTTATTTTGCTAAAAGAAATGAGAAGACCATTTTACCTAAACGAATTAGGAATAAATGTAAAATAACCAAGTATTAATTTCTCTACTTCATTTTGTCTTGATCCATGTCGAAATATTTTTCTCAGGGTTCAGAACCATAAACTGAGAGGTCAGATGCCATGGTCACATGCAGTTCCCATGGAAACTGATTAACAGGTCTTTTGACTCTGTGCTGCAGGCTTCTGCCTTCCCTGATCATCAACTGGACGTCCTCGTCATCGAGAAGACGTATGAGGTCGCCCTCTGGGTCACGGTAATTCAGGGCGATGTCATCCACCTTGAACACATTCCTAAAAGAGAAATAAGAGCAGATTTTTAAATTAAACCAAAATTAAACTAATGTTTTAATGATCACCATGTTTTATATATTCAATAAGACAGACTGCAGGATTAATTAATAATGGTTTCAAGACTAAAGAAATGTTTTCTCAGAAAAATTATTATTAACTGGATTCATTTTCATTCACATCCTAATTGCATGAACTCAATATTTTTTTAGGTTTTTGACAGATAAATCAAAACTTAATTGACTTAATTTTTAAACTGCTACCCCTGCAACATGATCACAAGTTATGGCTTTAGAACTTTCGGTTAAAATGCAAAGTGGACCTCTGCTCTCCACATGTCTGGGCATTTAAACATACAGTAATTGCAGTAAATAAACAAAGTTTTAGTGACACTTTTTCATAAAGTATAGAGTAACCTCATATTATATAACCACCAATAGTTTTAATAATGAAAATAAAAAGCATTTATTTTCAACATTAACCAGGGCAAATAAGGCATGTCATGTCATAGAATAGAGGCCTATGTTATTTCAAAGTATACAAAGACACGGCGTAGATGAGAGCAAAGTTAAAATACCAGAGCAGTGCAGACTGTAGGGAAACGTAATGATGAAATTAAAAGTTGAAGACTTTAAAGACAGGTGTAATGGCACTACTGTATACAAAAATTTATTTGGCATTCCTGCTGTAGATGAAAAATACCGCAAGTAAACTAATCGGACGTGAAAAAAAGTAAGGAACTAAACTAAAAATTCAAACAGGTCCTCTTTAGTATGAGTATTGGCATCCATGTTTTTTGTGTTGTTTAACTTCCAGGTTCAATAAAAAGGAAAACCAATGTTTTAATTAATTAAGTATTATTACACAGTTATGAAATCATTGACCATCCACTGCTGCGACATCATTTGCCAGAGGGTGCTGGAAATTCAAAAAACTCAATACAACTGTCTAGCGTGGATAGTAGCCTGCTCATGGTGGGACCCACCTCTCTTGCCCTGTGACTGTTGGAGATACCCCCCTGTGACCTCTGACAAGGGGCAATGTCAAATGGTAAAGGGCCTGTACTTACTGTATACACCGTTTGCACTACATTCAGTCATTTACTCATTCATGCACACAGTGATGGTGGCAAACTACATTGTAGCCACAGCTACCCTGGGGCTCACTGACAAGCAAGGCTCCCTTATAGGCGCCATCGGGCCCTATGACCACGATTAGGAGCCAATGTGGGAGAAGTGTCTTGCCTAAGGACACAATGAAATTGAGAGCTGGGGGTGTGCAGTCAACCTTTCGATTGCAGAGCAAACTCCTGTGTCTGACCCCACTGTCACCCCAATTTTGACAAAGATGACTGTAATATAGCATTAAATATCAAAATTAATAGGATTCTGCCCATATGAATGGATTATTTTATTCTGCATTTCTGGAAAGGAACTGGATCTCTTTGTGTTGTAAGGGGCCTTGATCATTTTTGTCTGGCTGCAGACCTGAACTGTCAGGACCCTTTGTTGCAGACCTGCAAAATGGTGTCTCCTGCACTGACAGGACCTGAAGTTTATTCCTAAAGTTTCATTCAAAGCCTTAGAGAATAGAGTGCAGCACGTGTTTGCTGCCAGATTAGAGTTTTTGACAGTGTCAAACTGAGCATAGGAGCAGTTTAATTTATACAGTAAGCAAAAATCCTCATGGGAAAGCCAACCTCCATTATCGTTTAGAAAATGACCTATTGACCAAATGCTCTTTTCCATCTGGTGATCAAATTACAGTGAGTTATTTCCATGTAGCACATATCTATTATTCAAGATAGGGTTTGGTGGGGAGTAAAATAGTGCGTGTTAATAACTTCCCAGCATAACAACACTCGTTTATGAAAGGAAGCTAGCTTCACAGGGAGTTTAACGACGCTAGCTTTTACTTTAGAAAGGCTTTGAATCAACTTCCAGTTAAAACAGTGCAGGAGACCTCACAGTGCGGCTCTGCAGCCGGCATCCTGACAGTGCAGGAAGAAGTCATTTCTGAAAAGTTAGAAAACAGACATTTCTTGAAAACAGAATAAGAATTTGAAATAATTATGTGATTTACTTTCATTTACTTTTCATTTTTATACCATCCTCTTAAAAAAAATCCTCTCCTTTTTTCCCTCCCAATTCCTCCACCGTAGTTCCCTCCTTGCTCTGATCGGCTCCTCTCTCTCTTGTTAGCAAAGCAGAGCCATATGAGAACCCAAGACCTGAAAGTAATCCATCTGACTCTGGGGCACAATAGCCCTAACATCAACAATAATGAGCAGATGAGCAGTGGAAATTAGTTTATTATAAGAAGGGAGGGGGGGTTCAATTATCACAGAACTAACCTATCTAAATTAGCAATAATGAAAGATTGAAAGAGAGGGTGAATGAAAGGGAAAAGGCGCAAAGCATGAACATGTGTGATGCACATGTGCAGTCTGCGAAGGGGCTACAGAAAAGCTGGAGGAAAAGAAAAGAAAATGTCCCAAAGGATGTAATCTGATTAATTCTGATGATTGGAAAGTGGTTTTGCAGTGTGTAACAAAATCTGCTCTCCTAAGGCTAGGCATGTCAATTAGCAAACTGTTACATATCTTAGATGTGAAACTTCATTGCAACCTTTATGGAAAAGATTGAGGGAATAAATGCTTAAGGGGTCAACGATTGTTAATCAGTAAACAGAACATCTTAGAGAGAACAGCTACAGTGCTTTGCAAATGTAATCCGACCCCTTCCACTGTCTGCTATGTTAGAGTAAAGACTGCAAATATGATGTATTTCAATGGAATTTAGGGCAACACAGTAGCCTAACACTGGATTTTGCATGGTTACAAAGTGAAAACTTTTTCCAATTAAGAAAATGTGAGGTGCATTTTCCATTCCTCTGTGTTAGTATTCTTCAGAAAACCTAACTCATTTCGTGGTATTTCTCTACCATCAATTTCATCATTGTTCTTTCTTTACTGCAAAAATACAATGCGCTAAAGATGAGACGGAAACAAATTGTTGAATAAGTTCTGAAGTAGCAAAAAATTTTTATCATAAGTGAATTCTATTTCCACTGCCGTGTTTTAAATGCAAACATTAGAAATGCACTTCTGCCTTGTCTTTGGATGGCATGTATGATAAATACTTGCCAATGTAATAAGGAATGTACCAGATGCCAACTTGCAACCTATTTCCTAAAATGGAGCCTAGAAGTTGCCCTGCAACAGACCGTCGACCTATCAAGGGTTTTACGCCGCCTCTCACTTTTCTCCCGACTGCTGGAGATAGTCACCGGTCCCACCACGACCCTGACAAAGACTTAGAGGGAGAAAATGGATGGATGGATGGATAATAGATAGATGGAGCTAAGGAGTACTTTTAATGTAGAAGATTCTGCTAAGTCTTACCTGCATATCCAGGCTGGCATGTATTTCGGATCTACTTCTTTCAATTTTTTCATGATTTCCAAGCCTCCTTAATAGTCAGTAGCATCCAAGACCCTCCGGCAGGGGGAACACATCTCCATTCTAATAAATCTGCCAATTCATCATCATCATTTCTTAGCTCTTCTCTCTCCTCTTCTGCCGGGGTCCGAGCGCCTAAAGTACCTATGTCAAAAAACTCTCTAATTCCGTCCTAGTGAATCTCTAAGTTAAAACATAGTCCCATTACTGATCTGTGGTCTTCACTAGTTTGCTACACTCTCTTCCTGTTTTTCCGTAAACGTTTAAAAAACAATCCATTGGACTTGGTTTCCAAGGTTTGAAGACATTTCGCTTCCCCTCCGGGAAGCTTTCTCAATTCAAATGTCTGGATCCGCAGTGAGTTTGAGGCTTTATATAGACCAGGCCTTGTTTAATACAGTGAAGCATAACATCAATCAATGAAATTATGCTTCGCGTTGCCTGGTTAATTTGCTGGAAGCAATCTAATTTGCACTCTTTTCTTTGACATTTTACAAATTTGCACAAAATTTGCATAAGGTAAGGATGAAAACATGGATATTAAGCAGAAGGCCCAGATGTGCTATGCCATCATGGAAAATAGCTATTCAGTGTTGGAATAGTGAGTTCAGGGAGTCAGTTGTCGTCTTTCTTTGAATCTTCTTCCATAAATGAAGAAGATTCACTCTATGAAGTGAAGAAAACAAAGGTCTCAGAAGAGGCAGATATATCCCGAAATGCTTTGTGGATGCTTTGGGAGAGCTCTCCTCGCAAAGTACTGTGGGATTTGCTGTCACAGTGGCTCGCAGTTGCCATAGGCTGTCGCTACCTGTCAGCGGCGACTAATAACAAAGATGGCAAAGGCATGGCGCAGTGGAGGAGGAGTTACATTACCAAAGGAGCAAAAAGCAAGGATCTGTCCGAATGGCCAGTTAACTGAGAATGCTATAAAGTCCACTATATAGTCCCCTCTGTTTGTGGACACAGTATGCTTGTATGAGCCATGAGAACAGCACATTTTAAACAGGGTGTGCACAAAGAGAAATGGGCTCATGCATGCTCTTGCACTCGCATTTTTTTTTTTTAAGTGGAGAGGGCGGGTCTTACTAAAAATCCTCCATCTTTAAATGACAGGTGTGATGTGAAAAGACAATCTCACACTTCTGTTTGTCTCTTATGTTCTTTATCAAACCTCTGAAGCTGGTGCAGAATACCTGTATTTACCCTGAGAACTGCACACAAGGGAACTCTTATCTGCTAATATGGTGACTTTTGAAAGCACCTGGATGAATTTGGTATGGAAACTTTTTTTAAATCAAGATTTGTTTCACCTCTATGTCATAAGGCTGCACTACATTGTTAACATATGGCAATATTTAATAAATATAAATATCTTTTTGGTTGTTCCATGACATTCAATGACATTCCATGAATTCAAAAGATAAATGGTGAACGTGTGTAATTTGAATAACATTTTAGAGTATTTGAAGTTTTAAAAAGCAGAAAGGAAACCATTTTAGTGTAGAGTAAAGGCTGATTTATACTTGGAAACTAGGTTGTCTGCGTAGGTGCTGCGGTTAGGCCCCCTCCGCAGACACTCTGCTGCACCTCTCCCAAATTGCAGGTGACCACAGACAGTGAAGCGGCAAGGAGGCCTCTGATTGGTCAAATCTACATCTGCTCTACATTATGCATATTTCCTGTTTGGTACCTTACCAGCTTGATTTGTTTGTATGACCGCCATTGCGGAAAACGGCTCATGAAGATGGACCAGCTTGAAGAGCGAGGTGCGTTACCACATTGGGACACCTTTTTCCACCTGGATTCCCGCTTTTTTCGCCCTCATGTCCCTCCGTTAGGGAAGAAAGTTGTCCCCACTTCCTCACTGCCTTGGCCATATCTAGACCCACAGCTAGTTCCTGATTGTCCCTCTTCCGTTGTGATGTGGTATACACGGAGTGCAGACCACGCTGCAACAAGCTCACTGCAACACACTGCTGCTAGAGTATAGTCTGCCCTTAAGAGGGAGTTGTCAACAGTTCCCTTTCAAAAGCACACATGGGAAACTGTGCTTTGTTGGTCCCCAATTTTCACTCCTATTTTTTTTTATAAAATAGGCTATTATCACATATCTATAAGGTGTGAAGTGGCACATAATTGTTTTACCCCTGCACAGCTAAATAACTGCTCATTAATGGCACCTATATGCCTGTTTTCTCACATAGGTAAGATGTAACAAAACTAGAACATCAAACCAACTCTTCCAAACATGATATTCTGCTTTCCCCACAAAAAAAGTTGAAGCAGGTAAACTTTAAAGCAGAAGCAGTTAGTAACAGAGGACTGGATAGTGCTTACCTCATGCGGGACAGCAGCTCGTTGTATGTTGGTTGGATGGTGAGGGCCTCTTGTACACACACATCTCTGCATGAATGACAAAGCTTTTATTTAATAAAAGCATATGTCCAAATTTCCGATAAAATTTGCCAATTTAATGGAAAATAAATAGACGGTAACAGCAAAGAATTACCCCTTAAATACCAGAGACAGAAGCAAAACAGCCAACATCCACAGTCAGAACAAGGTCTGTTCTTTTATTTCAGTAGATTTCAAGCATAGAGCTTCCCTGTTGATGGTCCTCACACCTGATGTGATCATTTGTGTTTGCATGGTGTTATCTATAGGTCTAAAAACTCTTGAGATTGACTGAAAAATACCTTGATCTAAATCACCTTCAGTGATTCAGAATAACAAAAACCACAAAATATGGAAGATGATGCTGACTTCAATGCAGCACAGAAAACTGAGTTTTAAACCTCAATGGATAAAAGCTTAAAAATAACGCCTTCTCAAGATAAGTGGTAAATCAAGGTCTAAAATCAATAAAGTTATCTAAAAGCTTACCGTATTTTCACGACCATAAGGCGCACCGGACTAAAAGGCGCACTCTCAGTTATGTGTCCCATTTCTGTATTTAACACACACATAAGGCGCACCGGACTATAGGGCGCGTTTTTTATATACCGGTACAAGTCCTCTACTACCTTTAAATACCTCTAGTGCGTATTTAAAAATACAGCGGGGGCAAAACTGAGTATGACTGTGCTTTATTCATGTATTTATTACAAAGTATTAATCAAACCTGGCAGCTGGCCGTGAGACAGACACATCGCAGATGACACAGCGCTGTGGTCACTCCTAAATTAACTTAAAATCCTGAAACCTGCCGACGGAATATGTTCGCTTTTATTACCGGTATCCTGGTGCCTGCAGCTAAAATTATTTAGATGAAAAACACCTGCCAGCAGCCGCAGTGAACGAAAGGATTTCTCCTGTCGGCGCACCGCTGGTATGTGGGGGTCTGAGCGCCTCCGACAGAAATAGATCATCTGGATGAACTGACTGCAATTATTAAGTTTTCAGGTGGCCTTTCTCACTTAAAAACATATTAAAACTACTTTATTCCCACTGATCACAGCAAATATAGCTGCAAGATTTAGATTATTTAGATGAAAAAACACCTGCCAGCCACCGCGGTGAAGAGGAGGAGACCCGCCCAGAGGCTGCTGTTGAATTAAGTTTTCAGGTAGAAAAATAGAGCGGGAGCAAACCTGAGTATGATTGTGCTTTATTCATGTATTTATTACAAAGTATTAATCAAACTCATCAAAGTCATCATCCTCTGTTATCCTCAGCATTCCTCTGAATAAAACAGCTGCGCTAAATCAGACATGCCAGTTTCCCCTTCTTCGCTGTCAGAGTCACTTTCCGTGCAGCGCAGCTCCTCAGAAATAATGCCGGCTTTTGCGAAAGCTTGAACAACAGAGCCAGCAGACACAGTCCATCTACAATCCATCCGCAAACGGTGGCGTAACTTGCCCGGCGCTGCCTTCCACTTATCCTGAAACTGTGGTCTCAGTCTGTCATCCATCGCTCCCACGCCGCTCGCAGCCTTACTGTGAACGGCCGCTCCACACCGATGTCAAGCGGTTGAAGTTCCTTTGTCAGACCCCCGAGATAACGGCGAGCACAGCGTTCATTTGATTCATCTTTTTTTCACATCGGCTGTGAGATGGGCACGCAGCGATGGTGATGCGTGGAAAAAAGCACCTGGTCTCCTCACATACACCTGCCTTTCATCATCTCCTCATTCATCCAGCCTTTTTCATTTGCGTTAATATCATGTCATCAGAGCACTGTGTCTGTCTGCTGTCAGCTCCCAGATCAGCTTCTCTGATTGGTTGATGCGGCGCGTCGAGCAGCAAAACTTCAATTTTTCCATCTGAGCAGCAGCAGCGCGTTGGCGGTGCGTCAGATGCTTAAACGCTCCCGACGTGCTGCACCAAAACGCGCTGCAGGACCTTTTGCTGCACCTATATGCGCATCAACCATTGACTTTGCATGTAAACTCACTGCTTCTGCTGCACCTGCTGGGTCCGGTTCACACCGATGTCGAGCGGTTAAACAGCGAGCACAGCGTTAATTTGTTTCCCCATGTTTTTCACATCAGCTGTGAGATGGGCAGGCATGGAGTTACATATTAACAGCGATGCTGAGGGGTGGAAAAAAAACACCTGGTCTCCTTACATTCAGCCACTCTATCATCATCTCCTCAATGAGGTGGTCTCAAAAGTCGCAGTTACAACACACATAAGGCGCACCGCACCATAGGGCGCACCGCACATTTTGAGGGAAAAAAAAGACGTTTAAGTGCGCCTTATAGTCGTGAAAATACGGTAAACCTTCTTCAAAATTAGAAGATGGCAAAGCAAAGATGTCATAAGTTAATAAGCTTCTAATAGTTTTCTCTGACTAAAGCTTTGCTACAAAATGTACCATAGCTAGCGAGTCCTGTACCAGTATGGTTTAAAGACCAATCAAAGAGGAAGAAGCACTTTCCCAAAAGTCACATTTAAAGCCAACTATTTTGCCATAGTCGTTACAAAAAACCGAGACAGGGGCCTTAATTGTTCTAACCTTTTACACTTGGGGGGTTTCCTACTAAGACCAATAGTTATATTTGGAAGAAAAAAAGAGGAAACATTATATTGTGGGTGTTGCTACAGAAGAGGATTGGTGCAAATCTTGAAAATGTACCGCATGAGGAAAGAAGATTATGCGGAAACACTGAAGCAACATCCTAACATGCTACCCAGGAAGTGAAAGATTTGGTACAAATAGATATTCATAGCAGAAGGATGATAAGTTGCCACAGAGGGATAGATTTCCTCTTTAGAAATAAAACAGGTAATTTTCCAGAAATATGTACAAAAATAACAAAAAATGTGTTTATATATATATATATATATATATATATATATACATACAGTAGATAGATAGATAGATAGATAGATAGATAGATAGATAGATAGATAGATAGATAGATAGATAGATAGATAGATAGATAGATATGCTTGCTGCAAGACAAATTAACTTTTGCCCTGTTTTTGTAAGCGAGAATGTAGCTGTGTAACTCTGGCCTATTTGCTTGGTTTATCTAGCAATGGCTTATGAAGCTAGAGCTTTTTACCCCCCTGGTCTGGAAGTTTTGTTTAGGTGTAAATATTGTCCTGACAAAGTAATTCGACCAAGACACACTTTTTAGGTGGTCTCTCTCTGCTTCAAAAGTAAGTATAAATACAAACGGGCCTTGTTCTAACCCAAATGCAGAGAGCATATTTTTGTAGTAGTTGTAAAGCTAGTCTCGAAACAATACCAGTTATGCTGTCTATTTCATAGCAGCATAACTGGTCATATCCACAGCTTGCTGGGTGTGCATCTAAGTGAATGTTCTCTGACATGATCTAAAAAAAAAATATGCTGATATTATAACAATGAACAATCTGCTCCAGCCACTCTCTGTGATGTTGGAGTTGAAATAACAGCATAAATATGTATAACAGAGGTGCTTAAAGCAGAACCCCAGTGGTAGTTTTCCTCCATGTCCAGTTGAGAGCTGTTACCTCAGGTTCTGGGCACCTTTTGTCCTTGATGAACTCAGTAGATTTAGCAGTATCTTCCTTCCACTTGAAAACTAATTTGGGCCCTGCTTGCTCCCTTCTCCTGCTCATTGTGGTTTTTTGGTAGGGGTTTAAGATAATATGCAAGTAATAATGCATTATCTCTGCTACAGTAATAGTGAGTTTCAGCCACCCTAAGAAAATATGAATTTAATCTGCTTAATCTAATCTCCTTTTCGCAAATAGAAAGTTTAGTAATGCTTAGTAGAACTGTAAAATAATTTAATGTCAGGCAGTGAGAAAATAGGTTGTATGTCTTTGTACAGATTTTGTGATAGTCTTTATTCAGAAGTAGGTAGTATCAAACACAAAACAAAAAATAAATCCACAAATATGCTGTTTGATTGGATTTACAGACCTGGTTTCAACTCCAGACAGGGTGAGCAGGAAACAGCGGAGGCAGCTGTAAGTGTGGGCCCCACCTTCACTTTCTGAGTCACTTTCCGGGAGTGGTTTAATAATCTTCACAAAGGATTCTGGGAAAATACCTGTTTGATTGTTCACTGTACCCTGAAGAAAATAAGAAAAAGAAGAACAGAGAACAAAGAAATGTTGATGTGATGAGAGGTCTCATAGGAAAGAGTGATGAGGAGCTGATTCAAAGAGAGAAATTGCAAAAAAGCCCAACAGAGGAGCACCCAGAGAGACGTTGTGTGAAATAATTAGACGGCTCATAATGTGCTGCTGATGTTAGAGGGACTCAGCACAGTCATAAAGCATTTTTTACCACACCCATGATATCTAATCATGTTAGTCAGGAAAAAGAAAACAATACGCAAAGGTGCAAATGTTTACTATATTAGGATTAAAATCAACAATACTAGTAATACAGAAAAGCATAATTAAATGTACATCCAATATTCATATTACAAACTGCATTCTGTGTGCCAGGATAAAAACAGCATATTATTATTGTTAAATTAGTTTAAAGAATCACAGTATTTAAAGATGGGTACAAAAACTGTACAAATTGTCCAATAACCTTTTTTACTGCTTTTTTTCCTTTATTATGGAAACGGTGCACTTTATTCTACCATCAGAAATAGAAGCTATATAAGGACTATACAATACATTTATATAAACTGCCCAACATGACAGACCTTTAAAACAAAGAAATACTAATAAAAACCACATGTAAAGATTACAACACATTTGTCTCCTTATAAGCCAGTATAAAGTAATTAGTTTAACATTTTTAAACTGTGTTAGATTGTCTTTGGAGAAGCATAATAGGATTTTTATGATCTTTTTTTAAGATTTCTTCACAGACTCTAGTTTAGGTTTTCTCATCCATGTTCACTCTCACTCTCAGATATTAGCTTTTATCCTTTCTTCATTTCTCCTATTCACTTTGTCTCTGCTTCTGTCACCTCTGATTTTTTAAGTTTTAAGTTTTAAGTTTGCACATTTTGAACACGCAGCATACTCCCTGAGTTTTTTTTTTAGGAACACTTAGATCAACCAAAATGTACTCCAATTATTTTGCTTGCCAAAGTCTGTTCTCCAGATTTGAACAGCTAATTAAAATGTGTGATTTTTTTTAGGGCAGTCTTATAATCTATTTTCTGTCTTCTGATTGCACTTGCTTGGTTTCCAGGATTTTCTCTTTGCTACTGGGAAACAGTTTTTTGTGTACCCAGTGCATACAGATGCATCTCAACAAATATGTAATCATTAAACAAGCTTAATTATTTTAGCAACATTACTAAAAAGTGGGCACTATAAAAAATGAATTCCTGATCATGGGGAAAATTTCTGACTTGACTCTCATCAACTCACTCTGCACAGGAGCTACAGTAACCTACAAAAGGCAATGTCCAAAGAAAGTGGCTGTTCAGAGAGTGCTGCATAGTAAGAATAATGTGTGACCCAGAACACACAGATGAATCCAACACATGACTTTTAGCTAAACCTTTTTAAGCCTCCTCTGCACTCAAAAACAGCGTCCACCTGATCTGAGGAGAAAAGACTCTGGTGACACTTACAGTTGTGTTCGAAATAATAGCAGTGCCTTTAGAAAAATGAGTAAATGTCAAAATTCTTCAAAGAAATTGTACTTTAATGAACACAGATACATTGGGGACACAGTGCATTCTATTCCAAAGCAAAACAATTGCGCAAAGTCATCAAAACTTAAATAATAATAATAATATTTCAAATAAAGTAAGAAATGGCATGTTCAAAAGAATAGCAGTGTTGCCATCTTTCCTTGGAAACTCAAAAATGTACTGTACAAACAAAGAAATTCTTGATAAGTGAACCTAGCTGAGTATCCTAAACTAATATTTTGTTGCAAAACCACGGTTTCTGATGACTGCTTCACATCTGTGGTGCATGGAGTCAACCAACTTCTGGCATCGTTCCACAGGTATTGCAGCCCAGGATAATTGCACTGTATTCCACAATTCCTCAGCGTTTCTTGGTTTTGCCTCATGCACTGCACTTTTTATGTCAGCCCACAAGTTTTCAATGGGATTAAGGTCCGGGGATTGTGCTGGCCACTCCATCAGTTGAATCTTGTTCATCTGGAACCATGCTTTTGCTCGCTTGCTGGTGTGTTTGTGGTCATTATCCTGTTGAAAGGTCCACCTCAAAGGCATTTCCTCCTCAGCATATGGCAGCATGACCTCTTCCAGGATCCTGATGTACTGGAACTGATCCATGATCCCTTGTATGCGGTGAATCGGACCAACACCATAGTATGAAAAACATCCCCATATCATGATGCTTGCACCACCATGCTTAATGGTCTTCAGTGAGTACTGTGGCTTGAATACTGTGTTTGCAGGGCGTCTGACATACTGCCTGTGACCCTTAGACCCAAAAAGAACAATCTTGCTTTCATCTGTCCACAAGATATTATGCCATTTCTTTTCAGGCCAGTCAATGTGCTCTTTGGCAAATTGTAAACGCTTCTGCACATGTCTTTTTCTCAGCAGTGGGACTTTGCGGGGGCTTCTTGCTGGAAGGTTAACCTCAGTAAGACGTCTTCTGATTGTCACAGTACTCACTGTCAACTGAAGGTCTTGCTTGATCCTCTTGGATCCCATCATTGGCTGAGTCTTCGCCAGTTTGGCTATTCTTCTGTCCATTCGAGGGGTTGTCTTTCTTTTTCTTCCTCGTTTTTCAGTTTTTTGCTCCCATTTCAGGGCATTTGAGATCATTTTAGCTGAACAGCCAATGATTTTCTGCAACTCTTTGTATGTTTTCCCTTCTTTAATCAATTTTTTTATTAGGAAACGCTCATCTTCAGAACAGTGTCTTGAACGACCCATTTTCCTTGTTTTTTCAGGACAAATGCACAGCCAGCATGCCAGTTGTCTTGATCCTTAAATACGGATCACCTGTTAACACCCTTTTTTCCCAGAATACCCTCCCTAATTGATGCCCTCTCTAATTGAACTCACCACTGCTATTTTGTTGAACACACCCTTTTCAGTTAATCATTCAATTTCACAGAATCCACAGTATGCATGGCTGTCCTGTTGGGTTTGTTGGTTTTCTATACCTTTATTTTACCCCCCAGAAACTTATCTGGGGTATAGAGTTTGAAATGTTAATAAAACAAGTGATTTTCTTGCTGCTGTTGAGGCACTGCTATTATTTCGAACACAACTGTATAAAGCCAGTCTGTGGACACAAACTCTGCAGGGCAATGTTTTATGCACAACATGGGATGTATAAATGTTAATTCTTGTGTTGCGATCCACTTAATCCTTAAATTTGAAGCACCCAATCAAACTTTTTTTTCCAATTGTGGGGTGGGAGTGTTGGCCTAGTGGTTAGATCAGTGTGCTTGTGCTCTGAGAAGGTTGCAAATATCCAGTTGGATCCCCACAGCCTCCACTCTAGGTCTCTGAGCAAAACCCTTAAACCCACACTGCTCCCCGGGCGCCTGCTGGTGCAGGCGAGAGGCGGGGTACACCCTGGACAGGTCTTCAGTCCATCGCAGGGCAACATAGAAATAAACAGGACAAACAACCATTTACGCACACGCGCTACCACCTAAAGAGAATCTAGAGAAGCCAATTAACCTAACAGTTAATTTTTAGACTGTTTTGTTTTTAGATTGTGTGAGGAAATCGGAGTACCTGGAGAGAACCCATGCATGCTCAGGGAGAACATGCAAACTCCATGCAGAAAGACCCCGGGCCGGGAATCGAACCCGCAACCTTCTTACTGCAAGGGAGATGTGCTACCCACTGTATAGCAGCCTATACTATACAAATATACAATAATAATAATCATAACAATGTGTGAACAAATGAGTCCCTTTCTGGATTCTCAGAGGAATATTCCTTTGAATTGTATTTTTTATTCACCTGTTGTTCTGGCAGATGTTGCTTAAAGTATATCAATGCAATTTTAAAACCAGGATTTTTTTCATAACCTCACGACAAAAGCAGAGGTTACCAACATTTCCACAATGTCCAGATTATCTGACCCTGTAGCCTCTGGGTGACCTGGTGACCAGGGTCTGTGCGTTACTCGTTTCAGCCTCTGAACATTGCTGGGATTTTTTGAAGGGTTATTCATGTACTTCTTTAGACTACAGTTCACATCTACATAAGAAGTAGTTCCTCTGAGTGGCAAAATGTTTTGATGAATTTCATCATTAATTAAAGGCTGTTGGGAACAACAGAGATCATTGTGATCTGCCATAGAATACTTGACCAATGGATTTGAATAAACAGAAATCCAGATGCCTGATATTTTGTGTGACAATATTCCAAAGTTTGGTTAATTAATACCAGAAATAGGGTTTATTCTAAACGTAAAGGTAATTCCAACTAAGGGAGACACTTTCCTTATAGAGCACTGCTTAATAACAAAGTTTTCTGCTAAAATTTACTCAGCAGATCAATTAAAATACTTCAGCATAAAACAGATTTAAAGAGGTTTTGAGTTAAATGATGATGAAGAAGTAAGAGCCATATTTTCTATTCTTCTTTGCAAAATTATTACCACAAACATACATTGCTGGAATAAAGAAAAAGTATTTACATATTTGTTACTGTATATAGAAGGGAAATGATAAATGTCTTAATATATTTTTGAAAATACAATCTATAAAAATGTGCTTCCAGAATTACCAAGCATTTAGCTCTCTCTATTCAAGCTAAGGAAAGCTGTGGGAAAATTGCAAGTTTATGCTAAGGAAATAATCCTATGGCCGAATCTAGATTTAATGTTTACAACTACTTTATCAAATTCCTGTCTGTTTTGGTCCTTGGTATTTATTCATTACTTTTCTCTAAAAAGCCTTGAGTTCCCACAGAGATGGAGGCTCAAAAGGATTCTAGCTGCATTTAATTTATTTTGGAGTGACGGATTAAAAATTGTGAAAATTGTAAATTCCACTTCACAACTATTTACCTCTATACAGAATTTCTTTTTTTAAATATCATTATTAAACGTCTGCTTATACAGGAATTTTCTGGGACACAAGTTCTCTTTTATAAGACACTTTTTTTGCCAGGGAACTGCACATCACAAGCATGTGTCCCTTCTTTTCTCCTTGGTTCCTCAGGACTTTACAGTACATCCATCTCCTATTCTCCTCCACCTTTTTTGCTTCAAACCTCCATCCTCACTCCCCCACCCTCATCCTTACTCTCCTCTTCCAAAGCCTCCACACGTTCCTTTCTACCTCCCTTTCCCGTTCTGCTCGTCTCCCTCTCCTTTCTTACCTCCAGCCAGTCGGCATTCACCCGTCGCAGCAGGAAGATCACTTCTCCCCTCTTCAGGTTTAACTCTGCCTGGCCATTCCCGCGAAAGTCAAACATCGCCTGAGACGCAGAGAAGGAAGAGGCAAGTGAGTGAGAGAACAGAGGAACGAGAGACAGTGTGAAGCAGGTGGACTGAGCACAAAGAGTGAGCAATGACGGGTAAGACTTTGCACACTTTTCAGTTGAAGCGAGCTAATGAGATACAAAAAATGGGATAGTGAAGTCTTTCTTTTGCTTAAAAAGTTTGTATTATGGTCTGATAAAGGGAGACAGACGCAAAAATATAATGAAGTTTAAAGTTTTAGAAAGATTCGTGTTTGAAAGTATCATTCTGCTATTCTTTTAGTTGTAATAAACTACTATTCAGTTTAGGATTTACACCTTTTTTTATTCATGACCATGACCTTTATTCACACAGTACACATACAGTAATACTCCATCCAAACTTGTAAAATAATTTGTTTTAAAAAGCAGTAACTTGGTGTTACTTAGACACAGATATATATCTCCTGTTAGGAAGTTGAGGATTTTATACAACATCAGGATGGTCTGCAGTTAAAATAATGCATATTTTCAACATATTTTGAACACAAAGACTGTGCAGGTTATGAGCAAATATGGGAATAGGAGAAAGCGTCTTACGGTGATGAACAGACGGTGTGAGAGTATATTTTTATGAGGGTCGGTCGTCTCTTAACCTTTCAGATTATCATGAGAGTGCAAAATAAAAGCCTGTCAGAGTGAATTTGCATGTAAATTAGAGCTCACCAGACTCATTACCATGTTTTAAATCAAAAGAGCCCTTAAGCAAACAGAATATGTTCAGCCTTTCACATACAAACATGCAAATATACTGTAAAGCCTTAAAATTAACCAAGCAAACTACTTCTGTATTTTCAGCACCATGCTAGTATTTGAGCACAATTTAGCTGAAAAACTGTTTCATATGGATACATTTTTGTTAAATCTGCTGAGGTTGAGGTTATACGACTGAAAGGGAAGAAAAAAGAATTTGGCTAAAAAAAGAAACAAGTAGCAGCATTAAATAGAGAAATTGCAGAGAGAATTACAACCATGACTGAAAAAGAACAAAGAGCGGTTAAAGCAGTGGGAGGGAGGTGAAGAGGAGGAGGAGGAGTAGGAGGAAAAAGATGGTGGGTAATAAGAAGAGTAAAAGTTATGCAGAGCTACTTTGCTGCAGGAGGCATACAAATCCTCCTTGTTTTTATATTGGTTGCTTCACACTGAGGAGTTGTGAAGGTGCTGCATTCCAAAACTTTCTGAAAAGAAAAGGAGGCATTACTGTTTTTTTTGTTGTTTTTTTTACAACTCCTCAGTGGCTGCCAAAGTAAAAGTAAGGACATAAGAGGGATAGAAAATATGTTTTTTTAAATTTGAAAAAAGGTTTAGCTTATACTATAGATAGAGGCTTTTTAGAAAAATTATATTCTATTTTAATCCAGTCATTCAGAGATTCTATATTTCAATTTTAGATCAATTTTTTGCAGGTTATGTCCCACCGTACAGAATGTCTATCATCTTTAATTGTGTTGTTTTACAATATGAATTAATGTTAGAGACCACATATTAAATTTATGCTGTTTCTCTCTCCATCTCAGCAGTTTTACATGTACAGTATGGTGAAAGTACTAATATCTTACAATCTAAAATTAACTTTGCTGGTTTCTTTATTTAGTAGATATTCAGTTTAATTTTAATTAGGAAAATGAAGGAAAAAGGACTTTTTGGGGGAAAAGTGGATCTCCCAGAAGAACCCAGACCTTGACAGTTTATGAAATGCTATTTTATTAACATTAAAAAATGTTTTATACTTGCTCTAAATTATTATTTATAAAGAAACTAAAAGGTATTTAAATAGAAAATCAATGAGCTTTCTATTTTTTGGACAAGAGGTAATTTGTGACCAATAAACTTCCTGTTTCAAACAGGAAGGTCATTGGTGACCATCTCCAGCCTTCATTTCCTTAGTTCTGGCATGCAAAAGACACCAAATATTTAAAATGTAAAGCAATTTGATTGCTTATTTCAAATGAGACTTTCACCATGAAGAGTTTGGAAAGAAGAGAAAGGACTATTGTCTATGAAATGATAAAAGGATACACAGGATATATACGACTTGGAGCAGCCTCTGGCATTTTGATCATTTGACCTGTCAAAACCAGTCAAAGTCAGTGTCTCAACTTCTGAAAGCAGTGCCCCTGAGAATTGGCCACCACAACATCTTTGCAGATATTCTGGAAACCTGAAACTATTTTCATTATTATAGAATTTCTTGGCTTTTCTATTTTCTTATATTAAAGGGGTCATAGAATGATTCTATAGGGTATTTGGTGTTGGTCCTTAAGGTCTCTGAATAGGGTGTGGAACATTGGTAGGGTTGAAAATGGCATATTTTCTTTTCTATGAGCCCTAATACAAGCCTGGTTATAAGCCCTAGAATAAAAGAACAGGTTTTCTTCCTTTTATGGTATGCTCATGAATATTTAGATGAGCTGTGCGCTGATTGGTTGGTTTAAAACGAGCCAAGCTGCTGAGCAAAGACGCATCATAGCAACAAGCACTCACTCACTGAAATTGTTGATATGGGGGGGGGGGGGTGCAGCAGAGCCGAGCCGTCAGCTCCAGGGCTGGTCCTTGAAACCCAGCAGATGGGGGCAGGGAGCCACGGCGGCACCGTGCTCCCCCAATATATATATATATATATTATTATTTTTTTTTTTTTGGAGGGGACAGACTTATTTCAAGTTGCTTGTCTACTTGATTTGATGATTGTAATTGAAATTGTGCATAAAAAAAAGAAAAAAGACAAGACAGCCCTGATTTACAATGCAATGAGACACCACTAACTGCAATAGGAACATTGAAATTATCCATTGAGACACAAGAAATGCAGTTTTGCAAAGTTTTTACGCTCCTTGGTTTTTTCAGTGGCTCAATAGTAGGAGACAGATATATATATATACCAATTTAAATTCATAGTTCAGATATGTTGACATGTATATGGAGGATACTCTCTGCCTCTTTATAACCTGTAATTGCAACACAGAAGCAGTCCAATGCATTAGCAGGTCTGCATGTGTCTTTGTACATGCAAGGGACCTCATATGTAAACTGGATTCAGCTGAAAAACTTATATGCAAGAGTGTAGAAAATGTATATGATTTGACAAAATATATAGCTAAATCCCAAAAAAGATTACATTGTAAATCAGAGTTGACATCTCAACAATTTAAGGATTATTTTATCAGAACATAACCAATTTTCATTTGTTTGTTTGATTCCCTGACTGTGCACAAGAGGAAGTGTGTGAATGTGTGTCAGAAGAAAATGAGACACATACCGGTGGCAGATTAATGAAGCTGGGGAAAGAGGGAGCAGGTTGGATTAACAATCCACTGAGATTACAATCACCCAAAGGACAACACAGACACACGTGTTCTTGCTGCATGAATCCAGGGCCGCTATTTTTAATAAATGGTTCTTTGCAGTGTTTCATCACAGTGTGCACCCTTTAGGATGGAGTCATTTTCAGATGATGTGAAAACGCATATGAGGTCACTAAATCCAATTCAAACACTAAATATGATGTGACAAAGCAATTTACTGTCTTCATATATCATCTGATTCTCTACAAATTTCTTATTTGTGTTCCATCATGTTATCCTTTTAAACTTCTGTGTTTTTATTGTCTTTATTTTATTGTAGGGCGTCTCAGTGGCATCTCCGTCTGTAGCAATTGATGATCATACATGAAGCAAAACATGTCACTTAAACTATACGTATGAAAGAGTTCTTCTATTTGAATTTAATTTATTTTCTTCACTTACTTAATTGCAATAAAATATGGCATGGTCTTACAGTGCAACTATAATTTATGTCATAAAACTTAATAGAACCAATAAAGAGTAATTGCAATAAAGTGACGAATGCAACCAGCTTGTAATGATTTCTGCTCAATGCATATATTTTCACTGGTAGTGTTCCAAGTATCCAGTTAGAAGTAAAAGTTTCAGACACAGATTTATGCGCAAATATATTAGACTCAAATCATGCAGAACATTATGACAGTTTATGTCAGTGGCTTAATTAGTTTACATTAAATGCAAAATGTTTTTATATAGACCCCCTGCATAATATAGTTCAAAACACAATAATTGCCTCCCACAGTAAAGAATTGTAGGAAGTTTGCTGGTTTGTGGTTTATAATGCCATGCCCTAATACATTGTTTGAGTCATGGTGTGTTAGGAGAAGCAATACAGAGTTGTGATGGAACGCTAATATATTCAGGTTTTACCTACTAATAAAAGCCAATTCCTGATGGTTTAAACAAGATCCATATTTTTTGGGGTTAAGTCAGCTTCTATTACATGCATGAGAATTACTTCTCCCGACTGGTCATGAATGCCTCAGATGGGATCCATCTGAGACTGTGAGGAAGAAGCTACATGGGTGAATCAAGAAGTTGTTCTCATGCTGCAATAACAAATGTGAATTAGTTGATTTTCACGGCAAGTCTGCACCCAGGATAAGTGCTTCTCATACAGAAAAAGAGCCAGTTTGAAGTTTAGCCAGAAATAGCCAGAAATGCACGTCATGAATGTAGCCTGCTACTAAAATAATATACATCAGACATATCTGATCAGAAATCTCAGCCAACTTTTCCTTTATTTCTGATAGATTTCAGATTTTTATTCTTGCATATTTAAGACATCTTAGTTCAAATGTCAAAAAGGTCTGCCTTTAATCGTCAACATTTCTAAACTGTTAATTTTAGATTTCTACGTTTATTGGCGGAAATTTACTGCGTTTTTTCCCCTTTCATATGCAATTGTCCTAATACTCTGATGTAGGTAATGAGAGAGTATTTTTGGTGAATTATATAAAAGTATATATATTTCCAACTTTAAAATTGAAGACAGAGGATTTCAAAAATCAAAACGATTCACCTTGACAAGAAACGTTATATAATCATACACAAAGTTATTCATGCTGCTCAGATGATTTATCTCTAAAATGAAAATGAGCAAGATATGCACATTTGCATTGTTACATAATATAAAAAAATATATATAACTACTTTCTTTCAATAATTAACCGCAAATCTGTAAGAAAATACTTTTGGGCAAACTTCCAAATG